TTTTCTCTTAGATATTGTATAAAATGTAAACAATAACAAAGTGTAAACTCCCGCGGCAGATACTGTAGTATGGACGCAGTCCTATGGTAACCAGTTCAGTGTCCAGGTTACAGAAGCGCTCCTTAACATGAATATGTCCAGGATTACACCATCTGTTGTTGACAAGCACTGCGATCCCCCCTCCTTTCCTCTTACCGCTCTTGGTGTTTCTGTCCGCCCGCACCGTCTGAAAGCCGCCGATGTTAACGGTCGAGTCCCGAATAAGTTCCTGCAGCCACATCTCAGTGAAACATGCATTCTCTATACTCCCTCTGGCTCCTCACCAATGCTCCCAAGTCGTCCATCTTGTTCGCTAAGGGCCTCACATTTCCCATAATGATCGAAGGAAGATAGGGTTTAAATCTCCTTCTCTTCGCATCACACCAGCCCTACAGCCTCTTTTCTCCTCAACTCTGATGGCTTCTCTCGGCTGAGCGGAGTCGGCCGCGCTAGCGCGATCAGCTGGTCATGCGTGTAAACAATGCCTCTGTAGCTATTGGGATAGCAACCGAAGTAAACTGTGGTCCAAGTAGCAGAAAAAACAAGAAGTATCACAGCTCCCTAGTATCCATCGTGTTGTGATCGCAAGTCTAGTCGCCGGCAAAGATAAGAGAGTAGATAAGAAATTAGAGACAGATTAATCTGATTAGTCTGATTTAGAGAACGGAGACTGGACTGAAACTTTTCATGGTCAAATGTCTTCATAATCCTAACAGATTTTGATAATTGAAAAGAAAAATATCGTCTGAATTAAACATGAGCTATTGCCATACTGATTATACTACCAAGAATACATTTTATTATTTTATTTCATTGTTATTCACAACATTCTTTGTTATATCTCTTGTAAATAGAACATCTTTTAGACAAGAGGACATTTTGCAGCTTCAAAGTTCATTTTGTCGAGTCCTGATTTCCAGGAACTGGTATTGTTTGTGGCAATATTGTTGTCAATATTGTATTTCATTATTGTATTTTAAAAAAGTAGGTTAAATATGTATATTAATGTAAGTGGTGACAAGGAAAAAGGGTAGAGTAAGCAGCTCAAGACAAGTCTCACATGAGCCCTGGGATCCTGAAAAAGTAATGCTGCTCTGGAACAGCATCAGATAGGGCAGTCCAGGCAAAGGGGGTTGCTGAAGAATAGGATGACTCAGCTCCGAGTGGAGGCGTTCCAAGTAAGAAATTCGTGCTCAATCGGGGTTCTGGGAATTAAAGACTGGAGGCACAGCTCACTGTAGCAGTGTAGCTGACACTATTAGATTTTCCCTGTTGCATTTTTTCCTGCTTGTGGGATTTGTCTCCCCTTTTTGTGTCCCTCCTACTTCCAGTTGCTCTTAGGCATCCACCGGCCAGCCCTTTTTCACAGCCAATAAGGTGACAGTCTTTTTCTCCGGGAGTCTCAGCCTCAGATGTGGACACCTCATGTTAATTCAGCTCACAAGGCAGTTTCCTGTCTCTCCCCATCATAAGCCTCCTTCATACTGTACTGTATATGTTTTAAATTTTTTTCATGCACATTCTTCTTTATTCCAGTAAAATCGCAGCCAAACTGCCATGCCCTTAGGTCTGATGGATTCTATGTCTGTTAGGAGTTAACAATTAGGTCCTCAAGAACCGTTTTACTGTTTTCTGCAGCTGGCCTAGGTTTCTTATGGCCTTTTCTTTTGAGTGGTGTAACTCATGTATCCTACAATTGATTCAGCAACAGAAACAGAAAAGACACGGGTAAGAACATGGATAAGAACAGCCTGTCTTGCGCCTGTCTCTCACTAATAATAATTTCAATAATACCTAGCTGGGGGTCTTGGTTAAAGGCTGACTTAACTGTCTAATGTTCTGAACTTATATGATAAACTGCTACTGAAACAAAATAAAATAAAAGTCTTAGGAAAGTGAGTGAGAGATGAGCTTAACCTGTGAACTTCTTTTGTCCTCCTTTCGTTACTGCAATAAAGAAATCTCCAGCTTGATTTACCAGAGTTGTATAGTTTACTAAGATAAGGGTCTAACAGGTCAATGTTCAAGATCTCCATTTGGGTTTCGAGGATTCTTTTGGGTGGATATGACAATGTTGATCTCCAACCACTGCTTTCCATTTCATCGGCCAGGCAAGTTAAAACTAACTATCCTTTTATATTCATTGGCTCTTTTTGTCATGATTAGAATTTGACTGAACAACTGAAAAGGTGTTTCTACAAAGAACTGACTCATGGAGAGTGAATATTGCAGTAAAGAAGATATTTCCATGTTTTTTTTCATGAACTCAGAGCCTCACAGTGGTGCATTGGTTAGCATTGCTGCCTTGCAGCTCTGGGGCCCTGGGCTCAGTTTCTGGGGTGCTGTCTGTGTGTTTGTATACTCTCATATGTGTTCTCCTGTGTGTTTGTACACATGAGGTGCTCTGGGTTCCTCTCACAGTCTAAAGATGTGCTGGTAGGATAATCAGCTACTGGGAAAACTGGCCCTGGAGTAAGTGTGTGCGTGTGTGTTTGTGTGTCTGTCTGTCCTGCATTGAACAGGTATCCCATCAAAACTGTGTCCAGTTAAGTCTCCTTGCTCAATAATACAATCTTGTCAGGTCCTCAACCCACCATCCCCTAGTGAAGTGTTTGTTGTTTGAACCTGTATTCTAAATGAACTTTCCGCAGAGGTCACTGATAAAAATGAATGATTCTTTCAAATGGCAATATCTTCTGACAAACACAGTTTGGATCATTTTGGCACCCGCTTTGGAGATTCCCTTGCACAGCTGGTAAACAGAGCACACAGAGCAGGACCCTTTTTTTCTTCTGCCCTCTTTTGTAGCTGTTGGTGCAGGAATCTAGAAGGGTTTTAAATACAGGGTATATAGAGGGCTTCTGTGTAACCAACTCTTCATGGGTATTTTAAAAATAATAATCTAACCCTTTTCTAGTATTGCATTCTGCATTCTTATTAACAGCTTTGTGCGTAATATGTTTGCTATGTTGACCTGGAGGTAAAATCAAAATTGCAGAGTCATGGTCAAGCACATGGTGAAAGGCTCCTCCCTTGGTCACTACTTATGGTCCATGGAATCATAAGGTATTTGCATATGTCCAATGCAAATAAGGAGGAGGAGTCTTCAAGTTTGTAAAAAGCAGTGGAGAGAGAAACCTGCAAAGGAAGAAGTAACAGGTTTATTCCATGCTGAAAAATGAAGAAAGACAACACAACGTTTTGGCCCGTGGAGCCTTCTTCAGGTGTGAAAACTTAAGAATTGTATGATTTGTGAAAATTAAAGAATTGTATCATTATAGCCACTAGATCTAGCCAATGATAGATCTCTAATCTGGTCAAATTTACATTTAACAAACTCAGTAATTAAAGTTCTTTGTTTATTCCTGTAAATTAAATGGTGTAAGCATGTGGTGAGTAGTAGTTTTTTCCCCTTACATCTGTATGTCCTCCATAAAATGTATTTGCAGGACAACCTTTTAAAAAATCTTTTGTTGTTTTTTTTCTTCTCTTATACAGCATATGAACTGCAAGAGTAAAGATCAAATGCAGAATACCTTGTAGGAGGCATATATCAGAAAGGAACAAGTGACAGGTGACACCTGAAGAAGGCTCCACGGCCGAAACGTTGTGTTCTCTTTCTTCTTTTTTTTCAGCATGGAATAAACCTATTACTTGTTCCTTTGCAGCCTACGCATGCTGACGCAGCTACCCACCTGAACATATATCAGAAAGGTTTATTATTATTTTGTCTGTGTTCTAGGAGGGAAGATTTACCAGAACAAAGAAGATGGGCAGACCTTTCAGTATCTGAGAAAGAATAAAATCTTTTTTAAGGCCAAATCACTCACACAGAAATGTCTTTTAACACTTCCATGTAGATTGCTATTCTTATCAGACAACAATTAATAATTTTAATTTTCAGGCCTTTAATTTAATGTCTTTGCAAATAAATCTGAAATTAAATCTTTCAACGCTCTTAGACACATTGTCACTGATATAACCGGGGGTCAACAAGCAGTTCAGGTCTTACAACAAATATCACAAATGTTACCCAGGCAATTTAACTGAGACCGATCAGTGATTGTGTTCAGGTGGAATTGAACTGACCCTGATAGGTCACTCCTTCAGATCCAGATCCATTTTGAGGCTTTCTCTGCTGCTTTTGTGCCATTCCTTCTGAATCGTCCATTAACACCTGTTGTGCCTAACACACCATAGACCTTGCCAGCAAAAGCCCTACAGTTTACCTAGATGGACATACTCCTGATTTTCTAGCGTCACCTGTGACACACACTGTGCCATTCCGCATTCTTAGTCCCCTTCCTCTCATTCACCTAATCCAAGCAAACTTCCCAAGAAACTAAACTGTCAGCTCCAGCATGATGAGTTGCTTGTTTGTGTTTGGGACTTGTATAATATCTGGTCTCAAGGTAGTGCTACTGATGTATTGAGGTAACTTTGACTGCTTTCTTGTCTACTAACACCTCTCAGTCATTTGCGATTGCAAGAAGACCTATAGCTGATCTTGATGTTTGCCTCACTTGTTCTTCAGCTCTAATAAAAGTGTTCCTTGTCCTGCACACAGTGGGAAAGTTGGAGACTACTCTTTAATCCCACGAATAAAAGACAGGTTTTAACCAACCCCTATACCCCACTTCCTCAGTTGGTGTCCAGATGGTATTGTCAGGCCTTGACTCCTTCCCATCCCAAAGTTTCTATTTGAGAACATCTGATATTTTTTCTTCCTTTGAATGTAGCACATGGAGCCTGTCCTCATTGTTTTATTCTATCAAACTCTATCAAGCCGTAGCTCTCTAAACAAGTCTTTCTACTTTCTTGTCAGGCTACTCTTGCAGGCAGGACCGGCCCTAGCTTTTTGGGAGCCCTTGGCAAGATCTTGGAAAGGGGCCCCTCCAGGTCATGATTTGCTCTTACAATATTATTATCAGCTTCCAACACAACTATTCAACTCTGACTTTTACTATTTTAAAACAATTAAATAAACGTAATATATAACTAGAAAACTTGAATTGACTAAGAAACTGTCAGCTCCACCATGACAGTTTAGAAGAACACATAATAAATTACCTACAAACAAGAACAAGACATGACTTCCCCTTAACTTCAAGCGAAACACCTCCAGTAGTCTAAGTGTGCAGCTAGAAAACAAGGCTTGTCTACCATTTGCTTGTTAGATGGACCTGTCAGACTCAAAACCAAATGGAATTCAAATGAAATTTTCAGATCACTTATCCTGCTCTTCCTTTTCCCAGCACCTGATATTGAAGGTCCGTCCTTTTTGGAGGACGATGTGCATTTACAAGTTTACAAATACACGATTTTCATTTTAAACCAATAGTATCACATCACAAGTAAAAGGTTGCTTGTACTGTTTCATTTTACATTAGATGTAATGAAAGATTAATGACATTGACCGCCACAACATTTACGACTTTTCCAAAATTTGGTGTAGCAGCAGTTGCAACTGCTCTGATATCGTCATCTTACGGTGAAGATGAGAGTCATTTACTACGATGAAATAAAGCACTACACTTACATTCACAGCATATATATATTCTCATTTTAATTGATTGAAATCTGATATAATATTATTATAATGTATAACTAACAAACTTTAACAGCCAAGATTATCACAACAGAAATAGCCGAAGGAGGAAATTTTTGGCTCACATTTGAATGGGCCAAATGTTGTGTTGCACATTGAGGGGGTCCCCTGGTGGCAGTGATTTATATTCTTATATGACTTAGATATTGCTGACTGACTTTTTGCCCCAAAGTTGTGGAGTTTTATTATGACATTCATAAACTTACAGAGGGCATGGCATGCTTTTTTTCCTTTTTCACAAACAAGGGCTTAGATGAATTGGTTTACTTAAGTTCTCTGATGCCATCTGGGGTCAACTGTCAAGAGCAGAAAAAACTCAGGAAAGCCACACAAACACTGGGAGAATGTACAAGCTCCACACAGATAGCACCGCACATCCCCAATTGAAAATAGGGCCCCAGCACTGCACGGCAACAATTCTAATCATTGCATCACCTTAAACCAAATAAATCATCCATCTAAAATATATTTTAACTAGTAAATGAAGAAACCAAGGTGAGAAAACATCATTTTTAATTAATTCAATGAATAAATCAAAATGTTACTCTGCTACAGTGGTGAGTGTTACAGACTTCTAATAGAGTATACGGTATATATTGGACAGCCTCACTGTATACTGTATGCAAAGTGGGTTTATTTTAAGAGCCATCAAATAACCAGTATTATGGAGCATTTTTTTGTGGATTCAATACTTGACATCTTTACAAACTGAGGGAACCCCATAGATACTAGAGGTAGGGATTTAATTAAAATACTTCTGTTAATCCTTCCAGTTCCAACATAAACTCTGATAATACTGCTGTGGATTTCCTTCTTCTTCTTGTCAAAGAATGAGTAGTATAGATCAATGTCTCTCAACCTGTTTTGATATGTCCCAATCATTATAACTTACCACTTTGGCTCTGTCAGTGTGAAACTGGTATACACATAAAATCCGCCATCTCATATACAGAGATTGTCACTGAAGTATTGTGTCAGAAAGAAGAAGGAAGTGGTCTTTTTTGCTTGCCGCCGTGAAATAACTTTTCATTCAGACAAAAAAGAAGAAAGAAGTTATCGAACAAAAATGACTGAAAAAAATCAAAAAGATAATTTATATTTGGCAATAATATTAACACTGGGGATTTTTGGTGAGTTTTACATTATTACTAGCACTATTTAAACTCAAGTTTGTTTTGGTGTTGTGTTAAATGGCAGCTTGATGAATAATCAGGAAGTAATATTTCAGAAAGCTCTCCTTTATAAGAAAGTTCTGTGTTTTTCGCATTAAAATGTATATTACAGTGAATGATAAATCCATCCACACATACAGTAATACATAATGTTCTGAATTGAAGGTGGTCTTAAGTGAAGGAGGTGAATAACATTACATTGGGTATTTTTTTATTTTGTCATTACAGTTAAAGTGCGCAAACTCAAAGCATTTCAGAATGGCAACAGTAAATTGAATTGTTTTTGTTTTAATAAACATTGGATAAAGAAAATGAGCGGAAAAGAACAGTGCCACAGAGGCAAAAAATAACAAAACTTTGTTCTCAAATGCAGTAGTAGACGAACTGTAAAAGCAGAAATAAATACTTCATAAAATAACAAACAGATATAATCAAAGATATTAGAGAAGTATATAACTAGCTAAATAAAGGTTTCAAACAGGTTTTTAAATAAAAGATGTCAAAAACCTCTGTAACTGTACTTACAGAGTCCGATGAGTATTGGGTAGAATTAGCAAATTAGCACAATGAAACCAGGAAAAAGTCTTACTTCTGTGACAGGTAAAGTTACAGACTTAAAGGTACCTTTAACAACACGGAGCAAACAATTAACTTAATAATCACAGAGCAATAAAAATGAAAATGAATGCATTTAAAACTGAGAATAAGCAGCAGTTTTTACCGTGGAACAAGCTGCCCAGCCATGTTGTTGAAATTTGATACTCTGGCTTCCTTAAAAAAGCAGGTGGAAGAGATCCTCAAATCAATTAACTACTGTATTATCTGCCAAAATGCATCATTTGTAACCTTTCTTATATTCTTATAATCATTTAATAGACAGAAACATTCTTTAGTGTGCTAGAGTTCAAATAAGAATCAAAGTGGCTGATGGCACTAAAGCATATGACATGATATACATATATATTGTTACAAATGGGGGGTTACGAAACTGGTGAAAGTCAGTATTTGATTTAGTCAATCAGTGAAATTATTATTCATAACCCCCAGCTTGTATGTGATTTCTAACTATATACCTGAGTGGCTAGTATAACTAGAGGCACGTGAGTTCTTCATATGTTTTAGTTTTAATAGTGAGTGTAGCACAGTAAATACTTTAAAAGGAAACTGCGTGGTTGTTCAGTGTATCTGGACCTCTTACATATAATTACAATATAATATATCAGTGTCCGAATTCAGTATAGAACTAAAAGTAAAGGGAGAAAATTGTTGGGAACCGACAAGCAACAATGACATGCATCACTTACCGATGCCATTGACTATTTTCGGACATAAGAGTCTAACCAATTTGTATTTGATCAATGGCCATTAACATAACGGGTTACTATATGCATATAGATCAAGACCTGCTTACAAAAAGAGAAAAATAGAATGCTATGTTATGGACTGATGCATGCAGTGTGCAACAGGGATCTATTTTAGGCCTATTCCTGATTTCTATAAATGATTTAGATCCTGGTATACAGTGCCTTGAGAAAGTATTCTGGTCCTTGCACAGTTTTCATATTTTGTTGCTTAAAAACTTGCATTTAAGTTGCAATTAATGTTTGGGATATACCTATCCATTCAAAGAAATATAATAAATATATAAACATATAATATGAAAGAAAAATTGAAAAGTCAGGATTGTATAAGTATTTAAACCCTTTGCTGTGGCAAACTTAAATTTAATTTAAAGACGCAGCTACCCACCTGAACTACTTAAATTTAATTAGATGCACTAAATTATCTGAATGAGCCACACAATTAACTGAGTGTCCTCTGTGTGCAATAGAAGTACACCACATGATTTCAAAATAAACCCACCTGTCTCTGTAAGGTCCCTCAGCTCAGTCAGGCAGTGAATTTCTATCAGAGATTCATCCATGAAGACCATGGAGCTGTTAAAACAGCTCAGGGGTCAGGTACAGATTAATGGAAGCGTGTAAAACATTTTAAAGACCCTTTGAAATGTTTTATACATTTCAGACCTGAATACTGTACCTCTAAAACATCTCCCTATGTCAATCATAAAGATGCAGAAGGCACACTGGATCAGGCTGTCCCTCTAAACTGAGCATCATGTAAATGAATAAACTGTTTCAGGATGTCACTGTAAAGCCAAAGCTGATTTTGAAGGAGTTACAAGGTAAATGGCTGAGATGGAGGAAAATGACCATATGGTTAGCAATAACCCAGTTTGCAAACACAATACAGTGCACCACTCAGTCATCACCATTCCTACTGCCAAGCATGGTGGTGGCTGCATTATGTGATAGTTCTGCAAAGACAAGAAATGTTGGAAGAGAGATTGAGAGCTCGAGTGGTTATAGAACAGGATGAAAAACAGGAAACAGTGGTTGGTGATGATGGAGAGAGCAGTGAGAACGGAGAGGGGTGGAGAGTTCGCGAGATGGTGAGGGGGCAGAGAATGTAGAGCAAAAGGATGACAGTGATGTGGAAAGCAAGGTGGAATCAGGTTTGACTGGTAGTATTTCTCCCAATAGTCGGAAATCCTTGCAGATTTTAGAGAACATAAGGTGCAGTCTAAAATATCAGCTGAAGTATCAGATTTAGAGAAAGATTTTTCCACTGAGTAGAAAAAGAGGGATGACAGTTGGCAGAAAAGTCAGAGTCCAGAAATGGCCGTTTCTCCCATGGATTCCGAGGACCAGTATGTGTGTAGTCCTGCTGATCAGGTTATAGGGCAGGTTGGTGAAGGAGGGCGGGCCGAACTATGCCTTGGGTAGTGAAGAAAGAGAAAGACAGCGGAAAAAGAAATGAACCTGAGTAGTAATGTCATTGTTGATTGTAGGATTATTTTTGGAGGTTTTAGTCGCACTTAATCCTGTTTTAATTATGGTCCTTAATATTGTGTCAAATGCGAGAAACATTCTCTCCAAGTTAAGGGACTTTATGACTATATTATCGTTTTTGAGTAATTTGAATGCTGATATTTTTGTTAGAGGAGTGTGGATTACCTTAAAACCAGCTATAAGGATATGCAAGAATTGTGGAAGTTCAGCCCGCTAATTTTGAATGGGTTGAATGAAAACAATCTGATGGTGTTGCTGTTTTAATTAAACATAAGCGAGTGGGTTACACCACGTTGTGGTGAAACTGGGAAGACCACTGGTGGTGCTTCTTTCTCTCATGGAGTTTAAATTCAACATCTTAAATGTGTATTGTCTAAATAGTAAAGGAGAGATATATTTTAATTCAGGATTTGAGGGAGTACTTACTGGGGATTTTAAATCTGTTCTAGAGAAAATGGTAGAATGAGAGTAGGGAAGCACAGTGTATCTGATAAATCATTAATCTTATTGCAGACAGTGTGTAAGGATTTTAATTTAAAAGATGTTTATAAAGTTCAGGTAAGAGTGGAGCAGTTTTCATGTGGCATAAGGTTCATGAATGGACTTATATACAGGATTTTACTTGCACATTTGCTCTTTTTTTTTGCTCTTTCCATCGTTAAATACCATGTATGCTTTCAATGCCAGCAGCTGTCACTGTAGGGAAGGGTGTGTGGAAGCTGAATATTTTGCTTCTGGAAGATGAGTTAGTGATGGGTAGATTTAGGGTAAATTATAGGGAATGGTAGTCTTTGTACGGCTGCCATGATACAAGAGCACATTGGTGAGGAGCGGACAAAATCATTTGTTATAGAGATGGAGAGGATATTGAGGGTTGAAAAAGGATTGCAAAGGAGATTACAGAGGTATTTTAGATTGACGGATGAGGGGTGGGACTTCAGTGAGGAAATCAAAGAATTACAAACTGACTTGTTGAAAATCTCTAAAGAAAATATTAAGAAAATCATGTTTCGAAGCAAAGTGAAAGAGCTAAAAGAGGGCAAAAAAATGACAAGATTCTTTTTTTAGGAGAATTGTGTCGGTGCTATAGCAATCCTGCTATATGTCAGGATTGAAGGAATGTGATGGTGATTTGAAGACGTTGACAGAAAACTGTAACTGACGATTTTTATGGGAAATAGTTCGGAAAGAAACAGGTGTCAAAAGAGTTGTCAGAAAACTTGTGAACGTGATCCTGAGGAGTGTAGGGAACAGTTCAGTTTTGTCAAGGGATTTTTCTGTAGAGGAGAACTTTCAAAACAGGCTATACTCTGGGATTCAATGGTTTATCCATTGAGTTTTATAGGAATTTTTGTGATATTTAAGCATTGGCTCCTTTTTAAAGTTTTTTTAGATATAGTTTTAGAACAAAAGTTGTGATTTTATTAATTAAAAAGAATGATCAGACAGACATGAGTAACTGGAGACCCATAACTTTCTTGAGTTGTGTTTTTATATTTTCAAAGTGTCTAATGCTTAGATTGAAATCTGTCTTGGGGGAGGTCATTCATCCAGATCAAGCTTATGGTATAGCAGGGAGGAAGATCACGGACAGTCTGATACTGCTCAGAGATACCATTTATGTGAGGGAAGGAGAGAGAGGAATATAAGGTTAGCGGTTCTCAATTTGGAATCTGAGCAAGCCTATGATTTATCACATGAGTCTGTGCTTAGAGTACACCAAAAGATTGGGCTTTTACCCAAGTTTCTTGCCTGGGTAAGGTTATTGTATAAGGGTATAGAGAGTAGGATAATGGACTTACTGTATATAAAAAGCAAAAACTGCGAACTGAGGAGTTCGCCAGGGCTGTCCGTTATCTCTGCTCCTTTTTTGTTGTACGGAACTGGCACAGGCTTCAGGAATATGAGAGATTCCTGGGAGCAGGGGCTTAGAGGTGAGAACTGTACAGTACATGGACTATGTAAATGTTTTTGTATAGACTGCATGTAACAAATCTATTCTGTGGAGCATCAGTGTCTAAACTGAATAAGAATAAATGTGAGTTTATGCACATCAGAAATTGGTTTGAAGAGGAAGATGTGGAAGTTACAGTACACGGAGATGAA